AGAGCTGCTTGAGATCCACGGCATCCTCTCATCATTGAGCTTAGGATTGACATGGCAGGAATTAGATTGATTCAGGCGTACAAAAATCACGGGACATAAGATATAGATACCTCAGGCCGCCACAGGGGACAGGCAATTCTGCCGATTGCTGCATTCGACGTCATCTTCAGATTTCCAGTCGCACTTTTCGCTTCACGATATCGACGCATCAACCCGCTGTCTAGCCATTGAACTGCTTTAATTCAAGCACTTTCTTCTTGGCGACAGGAACTTGTCGTATACCGTCATCATTGGTCGCCGTCGCAAACCCCGACACCAGCACGCCCGACCCCGAACAGGTCGCCGGCCACGCACCATGGGCAACGAATCCTCGACCCTGGTGGACGAGCACACACCTCCATCGGTGCTGGAGGCACGCAGCATCGAGGCGATAGCCAAATATGTCGAGCAAAAGCCCGTGAAGCGCGTGGTGGTGATGGTATGAACTTTCCCCTTCCGATTACCCCTCCCCCGCACTCTGTCAGATCGAGAATTCTACACCCCCAAATTTGAGATAGAGGGGAATATAGCTAACAGGAGGTACGTCTACAGGTCGGAGCTGGCATCAGTACTTCGGCCGGAATTCCCGATTTCCGTTCGCCTGATACCGGCATCTACTCGAATCTCGCCCATTTGGACCTGCCCGATCCCGAAGCCGTCTTTGACATCAGTTTCTTCCGCCAGAATCCCCGCCCATTCTACGCCCTGGCCCGGGAACTTGCCCCGGGTCAGTTCAGACCCACAATCGCACATTCGTTCATTAAGCTACTTTACGACAAGGGGATGCTACTGAAGCACTTCTCGCAGAACATTGACTGCCTGGAGCGGCTGGCGGGGGTGCCGGGTGATAAGATCGTCGAGGCGCATGGGAGCTTCGCGACACAACATTGCATCGACTGCAAAGCAGAATACCCCGAGGACTTGATGAAAGAGGCTATCACCAAAGGCAAGGTTCCGTACTGTACTCAGTGCAAGGGGCTGGTGAAGCCCGACATTGTCTTCTTCGGAGAGTCGCTGCCGGCTGACTTTTTCGACAACCGGGAGCTCCCCGAGCAGGCGGACCTGTGCATTGTTATGGGAACCAGTCTACAAGTGCAGCCGTTTGCCAGTCTGCCCGCATTCGTTAGTGATGGAGTACCCCGCGTGCTGATCAACATGGAGCGGGTCGGTGGGCTGGGATCCCGCCCGGACGATGTACTGGTGTTGGGTGACTGCGACACAGGGGTGAGACGATTGGCACGGGCGTTGGGCTGGGGCAAGGAGTTAGAAGAGCTGTGGGAGAGGACGAACCCGGACCCGGCCGCACGGGCGGCGGAGAATGCATCCCCACAAACCCGGGAGGAGCGGCTGCAAGATGAAGTGGACCGGCTCACAGAGGAGGTTGATCGCACGTTGGGAATTTCGCAGGCGTACCAGCAGCGAGTGCGGCAGCATCTGGAGCGACAGTCGGGCACGCACGCGGAAGCAGCGGGTAGGAAGGAGAAGCAAGCTGCAGAGGAGAACGACCGGATTGGGGGATTGGCTCATGTCTTCCCGCATCTGGCGCGGATGCAGGAAGGGAGGTGAGAGGAAAAAGCAAAAGTAAGAGAGATCACATGGACCAGATGGGGATGGAATGGATGAGAAGGTCCGGGCGAGATGGCGTTGGGTGGCTGGAATGGAGAGGTTGTGAGTGGACGAGACCAGAGAGATAGATGGTTCCTGGAGCTTCTTGGGATTTCGACGGGAGTCAAGATGATGGAAGGGGGAAAAGAAAAGAAATTAATTGGGATGGCTATAGGATAATGATACACATGATGTTTTGTAGTAAACTGGTTGATAGTAAACAAAAGAAGAAGAGTAAGATAATAGTGAATGAATTGATTGAGTTAAAGAGGAAGGAAGGAACCAAGAAAGAATGCGGGAAGAGGAAGCAGCAGTGATGGAGTACATACATAGTACATAACTTACATTCCTCCGTAGCAAATTGTCTCCCGCAAACAACATGACAGCTCTTAGCTTCATGCTATACTTATCTTGACATTGACACGTAGGTAGAGCCCCGAACTACTTAAACTCTGGAGATATTTAATCTACGAGGAACGACAAGACATGAAGCGGCGAGACACCCAAAGCAACAACCGGTGAAGGCGATCCTTCCTCCACTGCGGGGCCCAAAACACTAAGTAACTTATTATTATTACTTACGTCTCCGATTCTGCTTGCTGCTGTTGCCCCACGTCATTTTCACCCCCCCTCGATCCTCTCTCATCCCGGTTTCTAACTCTGTTCTTCTCCATCTTCTCCTCGATTTCTTTACTACTGTTCTTTATTTTCATCTACAACCTCTCTCTCCCCCATCTAATCATCTCTTACCGTCATCATGGTTGGAATCGGTCCTAAGCGTCCCCCTTCCCGCAAGGGTAATACAAAGCTCTCCCACCTTTTCCCCTCCATTTCTCGGGATGCCGATCGCTGACCCGATGGCTGCCCCTCTGCTTCTCCAGGTTCTATGGCCGATGTTCCCCAGAACCTTTTGCAGCAGATCAAGGACTTTGAGGAGCAATTCACCGTCGATCGCTCCAAGCTCAAGCAGATTGTCAACCACTTTGTTAAGGAATTGGAAAAGGGCGCGTCTTTTCTCACTTTACCCGCTTCTAATGCGGCCCGGAATGCATCACTCCGACTGACTCTATTTCTTCTATACAACAGGTCTCAGTGTCGAGGGCGGAAACATCGTAAGTGCTTTGGCTCATGACATGCATCAATCGACTCAATTCGTCCGTTTCCTTCGTCCCGACTAACCTCTTTCTCCCCCCACCCAGCCTATGAACGTCACCTGGGTGATGGGATTCCCCGATGGCGACGAACAGGGTACTTTCCTCGCTCTCGACATGGGTGGCACCAACCTGCGTGTCTGTGAGATCACCCTGACCCAGGAGAAGGGTGCTTTCGACATCACCCAGTCCAAGTACCGCATGCCCGAGGAATTGAAGACCGGTACCGCCGAGGAGCTGTGGGAATACATCGCCGACTGCCTGCAGCAGTTCATCGAGTCCCACCACGAGAACGAGAAGATCTCCAAGCTGCCCCTGGGTTTCACCTTCTCCTACCCCGCGACTCAGGACTACATCGACCACGGTGTCCTGCAGCGCTGGACCAAGGGTTTCGACATTGATGGTGTTGAGGGCCACGACGTCGTCCCTCCGTTGGAGGCCATCCTGCAGAAGCGCGTACGTCAATTCCCGATAGCAAACCACGCAAAGTCTCTGAGCTAATGTAGCAATTATCCAGGGCCTGCCCATCAAGGTGGCTGCGCTGATCAACGACACCACCGGAACCCTCATCGCCTCTGCTTACACCGACACCGACATGAAGATCGGCTGCATCTTCGGTACTGGTGTCAACGCCGCCTACATGGAGAACGTTGGCTCCATCCCCAAGCTGGCCCACATGAACCTGCCCGCCGACATGCCCGTGGCTATCAACTGCGAGTACGGCGCTTTCGACAACGAGCACGTCGTGCTGCCCCTGACCAAGTACGACCACATCATCGACCGTGACTCGCCCCGTCCCGGTCAGCAGGCCTTCGAGAAGATGACCGCCGGTCTGTACCTGGGTGAGATCTTCCGTCTGGCCCTGATGGACCTGGTGGAGAACCGCCCCGGCCTCATCTTCAACGGCCAGGACACCACCAAGCTGCGCAAGCCCTACATCCTGGATGCCTCCTTCCTGGCGGCCATCGAGGAGGACCCCTACGAGAACCTGGAGGAGACTGAGGAGCTCATGGAGCGCGAGCTCAACATCAAGGCTACCCCGGCGGAGCTGGAGATGATCCGCCGCCTGGCCGAGCTCATCGGTACGCGTGCCGCTCGCCTGTCGGCCTGCGGTGTTGCCGCCATTTGCACGAAGAAGAAGATCGACTCGTGCCACGTTGGTGCTGACGGCTCCGTCTTCACCAAGTACCCTCACTTCAAGGCACGCGGAGCCAAGGCTCTGCGGGAGATCCTGGACTGGGCTCCGGAGGAGAAGGACAAGGTGACCATCCTGGCGGCCGAGGATGGATCTGGTGTGGGAGCTGCGCTGATTGCGGCGCTGACCCTGAAGCGGGTCAAGGCCGGCAACCTGTGCGGTATCCGGAACATGGCCGATATGAAGACCCTGCTATAATGACCTGGCGCACATATTTTCGAAATTCTTTGGTGTGATTATTTATTCTCTGGTGTTGAGACGGGGTGGACGGAATGAAAATAATTGATTGAACATGGGTAGAGAAGCCCGACGAACATTATGATGAAGAATTGGCCCGGCCTGGTCTGGTCTGGAGCAATCCTTGTAGTGATTAAGAAGCCAGCCAGGAAGCCACCGAATGTGTAACTCTACCGTCTCTACCGACTGGACTCTGCCACCCCAGCCAGTCTGTAAACACAAAAACCCCGCAGCAAGCAATGCGACCCGAAGGTAAAATCGAAAGAATGTGCACGGTCACTCAGCTGGTCAGTGTTGGTTTGGTTGCACAGGAAGGAAAGGGGACCCCGATAAAACATTCCTAGCGGGATAGACGAAGAATGCTTGAAATCTCGTGGACCAGACAGACGGGATGGGATCGTCTGGTCCTGACCACTGATGCAAGCTGGAACTGGACTGGAATGCACATCGTTATGAATCCTTGCATGTATCATGTAGGAACCATCATGGATGAACCTGGTAGATACAGCCCGATGCCAATTCGTCACTACCAGCAACTGTGTTTACTGTAGTAGAAGTAGTAGAACTATATAAATATTGCCCTATTTACCCTCCTGCTTTACTCTACCCCTTACGTCGTCTTCTTCTTCTTCTTCCCTGATCTCTCCCTATACTACCACTATTATACACGTTCGCACTCACTACTTGCTCCCTAGCAAACCCTCCTTCTACCCTACCTAGCATATACTGCATCTTCCCCAACCACCACCACCACCACCACCACAACAACAACCATGAAGCTCACCACCCTCCTAACAACCACCCTCTGGGCCACCACCGCCCTCGCCGCAGCCAAACCCCTCATAGAGAAACGCGACCTCGCCACCGCAGCAGCGACACCCGCAACAGCAGCAGCAGCAATGCACACCCCCAATGCCGCAGCATCAGCTACACCCAGTTCTCGTGCGTCGGCAAGTGCCTCTGCCTCTTCATCGGGTGCTTCGGCGCAATATGAGACGAGTAATAATGACGACGATGACGATGATTACGATGATTACGATGAGGAGGATCACGACGATGACGATGATGGAAAGGATCCTAAGGGGGGTGATGATGGTGGGGATAAGGGTGGGGATGATCAGGATAAGAGTGATGTATGTTTCTTATGTCCCCTTTCTTTTTTTGTTGGTTACTATGGGTGGAGTGTGATGCTAATGAGTGTGTCTTTGTACAGCCGTTTGAATTCGTAAGTTCATGATACTCCTTACTATCTATCTACTTATTGGTGTTTCCCCTGGTGGGAGAATGTGGTTTTATGAAGGATATGTATTTGCTAACGAGGAGATTTTGTTATCGGGATTTAGTTGTCGGGGATTTTGGGATTGGTAAGATACTCCACCTCCAACTACTTAACTTGATGCTTCTTGGATGGGTGATGGCTAACTGTTTTTGGTGGTGTAGCTTGGTGGATTGGTTAGTTCTCCTATTCTTTATATTTCCTTTGGTTGTCTTTTACAAGGAGACAGAGGGGGAAGGAATATGGTTGGTATCTGTTATAAGAGCGATATACTAACTATGTTGTCACTGGTATAGGGTCTGCGGTGAACTGATCGACACGAAGAGTCTGCTTCTACTCTGCCTTAGGGCACGGCTTTCGGTTATACTTTCTGTCTTGTCCTATTGATGATTGTTGCTTCTTCTTCTTCTTCTGATGTGGTGAATGGCGGAGGTGTTCATAGGTTATTTCTTTATGTCTGTTTTATCTGATTTGCTGGGATATGGTTCGCTGTTTGTTAGTTAGGGCTTGCTGTATCTCTGTTACACGTCACATATCAAGCTATCAATATAATGGAATGATTCTGCACTGGTATTTATTTACTCTACACTAACTCCACGTAATATGCAGTATAAAACTTTTATGGCTCTATAAAGTACCAAGAAGGAATATTTACCCCCTGATTTCCCACAACCTGATCCGTCCCTGCTCATTACCCACAGCCAAATGCTCCGAGTTGGGCGAGATAGCCACCGACGAGATACGACCCAGAGGAGTATTCGACGTCGGCCAATTGCGGTACACCGTGCATGTGGGGAGGTGAACTATTATTCATCATCATTAGTATTCTTTCCACACGGTCTATATTCAAAGTAGGAGGAGGGGACTCACCCATTCTCAGCGCATCGCGCTTCCACCGACTCGCCATAACAAAGAACTGTCCATCCGGCGCAAACACCAAATGGCTGATCGGCGTCGTGAGCTGACCAAGAGCCCGGACCGGCTCCGGGTTACGAGGAATCGCCGACTGTCCAGCCTCGACGTCTTCGCCCTGCACCGCGTACGCCGCAGCCCATTCGCGACGGTCATACACGTTGACCACACCGCTGGAACTACCAATAGCCACCCAGCGGTCTCCGCCCAGCTGCGTCCGGCCGGACCGACCACCCAGACTGAGCACCGTCGTGCCGACGGCACCGGCGTCCATCCAGCGCGCGACGACCCGGTTGAGACGGCCGTCCCATTCGGATACTTCACCGTTCTTGCTAGCCACCGTTAGACCCTCACCGTCGCTCCACCAGGCGAAATCGGCCACGCCGCCGCGGCCGTCCACGCGCACCTGGGCAATCCACTGTGCCGTACCGGAGTCCAGGATGTTGATGAGACCGCCGCCCTTGCGGGAGGTGCCGACCAGACCGACGTAGCGGCCACAAGGGGAGAGCTTGAATCGCTCCATGGATTTCTGCTCCTCTTTGCGGTCGGCGGTACCGTTGACTTTGTCGACCTTGCCGGTCTCCAGGTCCCAGATGTGGAAGTAGCGGCGACGGCCGGAGGCGAAGATGCGGTTGCCGGAGGGCGGGTGGAAGGCTGAGGTATGGATGGGGGTGTTGCGGATGTGGAATGAGGTGAGGAGCGGGTTAGGAGCCGGGGAGGAGGGTGAAATGTGGTGAAGGAAAAGCGTGGCTGCAGGTCCAGAGGAGAGGAGCAGCGGGTAGTTGGGGTGGAACATGAGCGAATCGACCGAGGACTGTATACCATGTTAGTTTGACGTGATGCGCAACCTAAGCAACAGAAGACATACCGGCTGATCCTTGCCAACGTCCTTGAGACGATGGATATCCACAACCTCCTGGCGCATCTTTCTGCGGCCGCTTGACGTCTTTTCCTCCACGTTGACAAGATCCGTAGCGTTCTGCAGCAACTTAGCCAGCGGCTGCGTGGACGACGGCTCCTCATCATCCGTGTCCATCTCGTCTGCATCGGACTCATCCTTCTGTTGCTGCTTCTCCGGGTTGGCCCAGTCCGGCATCGGGTTCAACTGCAAGTACTGTCTGCGCAGACGGCGAATATATTCCTTTCCGCTAATAACATCCTCCGATTCCGCGACACGCAGCTTCCTCAGTCTCTGATGGCTGGCCAAGGAGATCGTAATGCGCTCGTCGTCGCTATCATGCCACAGCGCAGGCATGCCAGACTCCTCCTCACTGCCCTCTTCATCTGACGGCACGGCGGGCGCCGCCTCGCTGAGATCCGTAGAAACCGGTCCGGCGCCAGAGTCAAGGAAGAAAAGCTACCACAACCCATTCGTTAGCGACCCGCACAGTTACAGCAATAGAAGGGTATATCCATTAGGGAACAAACATCAGCATCATCCATCTGCGACAAATCCTTCACCTCATCATCGTCTCCCTCTTCCGCAGACTCGTCCTCATCGCTACTCTGACCCGCAAGTACTAAACTGCGATCCTTCTGGTTCTTCAACGCGCCAAGAAATCCCTCATCGTCGCCGAAGAGCATCGCCTCGAGCTTCTTCTCGGCTTCGTCCTTCTCCGGCACCGAGGACTCGTTGGAGCTCGTTTCATCGTCGCTCATGTCGATGTCGCTGGCTTCGCGAATGGGTTGGCCTGGTTCGAAGGGGGAGCGCGCGGCCGTTTTGACCTTTTGGCGGGACTTTTGCTTAACAGCCACTTTCGGCATTGTGAAGTATGTGTTCCCTGATTGATCAGAGTTTAGGGGAGAATTGAATGGTTGGATAGAGGGGGTGGTGTATATCGCGGAAAGCGAAGCCGACAATAATTTTCTTCGGCGGCCGGCAGATGTGGGCGGTGAGGGGTGCGGTCACGGCGGTACATTTGTGCCTGGTATTTAAGGCATAATTATTGAAGTAGATTGCTACTGAGATCAATTCTAAATGCGATCTTGAACTTAATCATATTTTAAACTATACGTATGCGTGGATGAGTTATAACGCGCAGTACACGAAACAAAAGACATAAAAACAGCTGAAGTAAATTCATGTACACGCCATCCTAATAGAACCATAAATGCACCAATCACAAGTACCATTGAATAATCACCGAGAATATCACCAAACGCCACATAACACACGTGAGCGGAGATCATATCAGTCCTTATTCTGGGACTTAAGCTTGGTGGAAGACGACAACTCGCCATTCTCGCCGTGGCTGCTACTCGACCTGGCGGACGCGGCAGAGCTGTGTTCGACTTGAGCTGGGTTGTATTCGGCGGACTCGAACCGGACTAGGTCCTCCTTTACAGGTTCCGGGCCATCATCTTTCCCAACGGAGTCATCGTCCGACTCGAAGGACGCGTCTTCGTCCATGCCAGCCAGGAGCGCGTGGCGATGCTCGTGGGTGTCATGCTCCGCCTCCTCGAAAGTATCCAGCATGATCGGCTTCTTGATGAAGGTGTCGATGATGTAATACTGTATTGCGTTCATGATGACAGGGAAAAGCAGCATCACGAAGATGATCTGCACTGCCGTGTTGCCTTCCGTCCATCGGAGAGCCCAATCTCCCACCTTGACTATGAACGGCAGCAGCTGGATGAGGAAGAAGACGCAAATCTTCATCCCCAGCAGTCCCATAAAGTAAATTATTGATTGCTTGAACCACCATGAGGCGCGCGGTGGACTTCCATAATTCCCAGACTCGATGGACTCCGGAGGACTCGCGAGGGGAGTATACGAAGCTAAGCGGTTGAGGAGGTGAAGGATGAAGATGAGGATCGGAATGCCTAGCGTGGTCTTGAAACGAAGCATGTCAGCATGCAACCCGTATAACGGAGCATAGGGATAAGCTTACATCGATTCCCAAATTCAATATGTAGAAGGAGCATGGGTTTGGTTTGTATTTACTCCGGATCTCCAGCTGGCCCGCCGAAAACATGGACATAAGCAGATTCGCGAGGTGCAGCATCGCAGACCCGAAGACTTGCTTCGAGACGTCAAATGCCCACACCTTCACTGGTCGCTGAGGTCTCTCCCTCCAGCGCTTGTAGACAAGTGATAGCAGCGCCAATGCCCCGAGCGCAGCTTGAACGAGAAGCGAAAAAGGCCCCAGGAGCCTGCATTCCCCGGTGTCGTCTCCATCGGTCGGATCTGGACCAGCTAAATGAAAAGGTACAGTTTGCATAGTAGGCGACGGTGATGGTGACGGCGTTATGGAGGTGGTGGAGGCTGTAGTCAGACTGCCAACCGCCGAGGCACCGACACCGCTACTAAGGGCTGTGATAGCCGTTGTTATGACTAGCCCGGTGAGCGATGTGAAGGTCATGGCGGCAATGCTGCGTCCGAAATACAGATGGAAAGCAAAATCAAGGAGAAGAGGCTATAGCAAGAAGATATCTCGACAAAGTCCGAGGGATTTTCACGGCCAAGCGACTGGTGGCGGTAATAATTGAGGGGAGTCCAGTGACCTGCGGAGATGCAAGACGGCGGCGTGCCTATCTTGCGAGGGAAGTCCGTGTCACGGGCATATGGCCGGGGCAGAATTTGTAGATGATGGGAGGATTTCAACCAGATCCAGGAGCGCGAAGGTGAATATTAGACGAAGAAGGCAGGTCCTCCTTAACCAGCAAGGAACCGGAACCAGCCAGGGTCTCAGGGTAGAAGCTAGGAATTAAGTGGGTTTCATGGGAGGATGAGAATGGGGCGGAGAACCAGCCAGCCTTGAGTTATGAGGTCAGGACCAGCACGAGAACTCTAAGACTCTAAAGACACCGCCCCCGCAGCTGGGCCTCACTAGCGCCCGCCAAGCTCCTACCCGGCGGTCCTGCAAATTATTGCGCCCCCCGAGAAATACCCTGATTCTGGTGACCCTGACTATATTTGTTATGAACTATTTTTGGTTTGCGTGATAATTACTAGTATACTAATATCGTGTCTTCGACTACTCGGTATTAGACCAACCAAAATTTACTACACAAGTTTGGCACATTTTTTTTGTCATTGACTTTTATCTGTACTAACCGCAGGCGCACAACGCCCACAATATCCAATTGATCATCCGGCAGCAATCCAAGCCTTTCACGAGACTTATTCTCGCACTGTGGGGCGAAAACTTCGTTTGTGAAGGCCGGTCAACCCCCGAAGTCACAACAGAATCCTCAAGAACCCACGGAGGCATGATCCTCCAAGGGATTCCCACATCAGGACCAACGCTTAGATCATCAGTCTCTCGACCTTGTCCTTGATGGTCTTGATCTGGCCCTGGAGGTCACTGGCCTCGTTGGTGGTGATGCTGGCAGCAATCACGGGGCGGGAAACACCGGTAGCACGGCCGAGAGCAAGCTTGCTGGGCACGAAGAC